AATACACTGGTGGGCGAAAATCTTGGGAGGCTCGGTAACCCTGCTGCCTCCTGCCCATCTTTTCGTTCTTGCAACCTGCCTCCAGCAATCTCCGAGCACCAGCCCCAGGAACAAATGTGGCTTGAACCTCAACATCTTAACTGAACCTGCTAACACGCATCTCCAGGCTCTGAGACGACCTTTTGAACCACGTATCGGGGATCATCGAGGCACCAACTCGGCCTCCCCTCGCTTGTATTTGGTGAGATGCGCACGGTCCGAATTCAACCGCGAATTCGGTTCGCGAACGCCCCACGAGAGCTGCCTCCCCCTAAACCCTAAATCTTACAAGGCACGCTCCACATTCAAACCTCTTCTCTCTTTCTTTTACTGGGTCCCCGGTTTAAACGGCGTCGGCGCCTTTATTAGCCTGACCCTTTGCGGAGGAAAACCCGCCTCGTCGGTCATTGTCTGGTCTGCGACTGCCCCCTCCCCAATCAGTGTCACAAAACGCCCCTTTCAACAGATTCCAAACCCTCTTCACCCGGGCTCACCGAGCCTTCAACTTCATTAAGTGAGCGCTAGCCGGGCGCTGGAGGAGGCGAAGTTTAAATAAACCGGAGCGGGGAGGGAGACGGGGAGGGCTGCCCGTTGAAGGGGATGGAGAGAAGTGTTTTTGAAAAGGGGAAAGAAGTCATCAGAGGGAACAGCGCTTTGTAACCACGAAGACGCTCCCGCTGTGGCGAGAACAAATTGGAGATGGAGGGGAAATGTCGGCCCCCACCTCAACCCGGGCTCCTGGGTGGTCCCAGGAGCCCCGGCAGAAAGAAAGAAAAGATAGGGAGGAATCGGCTGTGAAAAGAATGCACCACTTTAATTGGACTGCGAGAGAAAAGTGGGAGATGCTCACCCGTGTGCCCCAATCGCCCCAGCAAAATCCCACTCCATAAATAAAATGTCCCCTTAGCTCCGGCTGACAAAAAAGAAATAAATAATTTTTTAATAAAAGGTATCTCAAAGTTTGAGAATCACGGCTGTTCTTCAAGCCCTAGAAAGCAAATCTGCGAGATGAGGGGAAACTCTGCCCGGAAAGACCCCCTCCCCCTCCTCGTGGCCTCAGGCCTCGCGGCGCCGGATGAAAAGGAATGAAATTGAACGAAATGAAGTGAAATTGACCAGTGAAATTCGCCAATTTTCTCCTCCTTTAAACTGCCCGCTCTCGGCAGCACTCTCTGAAGCCCAAGCTGATTTCTTAGCTTGCTGCTCCCTCCACCCCCCACCTCTAGAGATGAAGGTGTGCCCTGGTTATTTTCTTATTATTGTCACCGTTTGTTGAGAGCTGTGGGGTGGGCAAGGGGCTCAGAGGTCTCCAAGCAGGCAGTCAGAGACACTAACCGAGGAAGGATAGCCTCTCTTTCTCCAGCCCTCTAAGTGAGGCACCTGATGGACCCACATGGGAGTCACTGAGGTAGGGAGGAGAAAAAACGTCCCGGATGGTGTAGGTATAGCTTTTAAATAGCACAACTCCTTCATCTTGATCCTCGTCCCCTCTGCCAGTCCAGCTCCCAGGTAGGCCCCTCCGAACAGGCTCCCACCACATACTGCTTAAACTGTTGCCAGGTTAAGTCCAATTCCTAGTAACCTTATAGGACCATACAATCCCCCGCTGTGGGGTTTCCAAATCTACAATATTTACGGGAGCAGACTGACACATTTTTCTCCCACTCATCAACCAGTGGAATTCAACCTTGCCACAGAACCACCAGAACACTCATACAGCCTAAGGGTCTGGAAATAAAAATGCCCTCCTGTCCTCCTTGCCTTCGATGTCTGAAGCTTTCAGAACGTAATTTTTTTTTTAAGGCCAATTGGACATTAGTGCCTTCTCTGGCCCTCAGTTCTCAGTCATGATTGTATTTGGTCCAGGTCTGATCTTTATCTTTTGGGAAACTGATGTCTGGGTTGTGGATTTAGGGTCTAAGCTCCCTAGAAGCCCCTTGAGAGACACATCTCACTCTTCCCCAATTTTGTTATTTCTACTCTTCTTGATACAAGTCTTTGGACATATACCTAAATAGATATCGTCTCACACAATATGCTCAGATAGATTCTCTCTCCTAATCACACTTTCACAGTGTCACGTAAAGGATGCCACAGATAGATCTGCTGCTTCTCCTAAAAATAACAACTGGTAAAAGTATCTTGCCGATTCATTCACTACTGGTTATGAATTCTGGCCAACTTACTTTCCTCTTTTCTGGAGAGGAAAAACCAAGTAATAAATCTTTCACTCGGAGCTCCAGTCTAAAACCTGGTAGTGACATATATCATAGCAAATAAGATCATGTCGCCTCAAAGTGCTTTATTGAGGACACACATAGCCACACTTCCTCCAGTAAAAATAAATCAAGATCCACACAACAACAGGAGTCAAGGAAGCAGCCAGTGAAACCAGAGACCATTATCCTGATATCAGCAGACATTTCACTCTTTAACCAATTAACCTGCCTTTACTCATTCTAGGCAGTTTGGTAAAATGGTAGAAAGTGGTCTACTGCACTTCACCTTCCTCCATGCCCACAGCCTCTCAACAAGATGAAGAGGAGTGGGTGTTTCACCTCTGAGAGAAGGACAGCAGTTAATGTTCTAATGTTCACACAAGTCACAGCCCTCGCTTTTGGGAGGAAGGTGGTGGGGAATTCAGGGGTTCCAACAACTCTGTCACAGTTCTGGTGTTTTCTTTTCCCACTTCAATCCCGACTCAGACCTTCTTCCTACAAAGGCTCTTCTACCTCCTCTCTACTTACTGTTGTTATCACCTGAGATCATAGCTTGGAAGTCTACAGTAGTTTTCTCTATGTTCACTCCTCTAAAGTTCTCTGCATCTGAATCCTTGCCTTCATATTCATCCCTTTTTGTCCCCTACCTTTGGCCTCAGTGGGTCTGCTTTCTATTAAGGATGAAATGCCACTCCCTGAACCTCCATTTTTCCACTTCTCCTATTATCTCTGTTGAATGCACAATGAGAAGACCTGGGCAACCACACTTGCATCATTCAAAGCATCACTTTTCTGAGCCAACACGCATGCCAGTCTGGCCACTGGGAATCCCAGGCACAGGCAGGGAGCTGGGAGGCTCAGTGGGCTTAGAGAGTCCTCTATTAATCCAATGGATTTACACTCTGGCAGCAGGTTCTGGCTGTAAGTTTCAAAGGGTGAAGAGGATTAACCTAACAGAATAACACCCACTGATTCTTACTCTTGCCTCCAGCTCATAATGCAACTCTAACTCCCTTGGCCTAGAAAAAAGAGAGGTTTCACAGTCCTCAATTCAAGCCCTGCATGTGTGAGGAGTGAGACCCCCACAGTGGTCAAACACAGAACTTTCTCCTTTTGCTGAGCACACAAAGACACACATTCACAGGTAAATTTAGCAATTAAAAAACACCTCAAAAAATAACAGTTCATAGGGAGAAAGCAAAGACAATGATAAACCAGGCAAACACAAATCACTAGTCTTATAAAACTCACACGCGGAGGCAAACAAAATATGCATCGAAAGACGCATCCACTCAAATGACACTTAAAGGGTCTATCATCAATGGACACTGGTCACCCAGATCTGCCCAGGCCCCACTAAAATCACAGCTAGGAGATGAGACTCCTTGGGTGTATTTGAAACAATATCCCTCTGTCAAAGTCCAGGTAGGAACTTCCTAAGATCAGAGCGAAAATGAAAGTGCTGGTAGCAGGGTCCCAGGCTTCCCAGGATCCAGGCCCCATTTACAGCTCAGTGCTCTCTGTGTTAGATAATCCCAAACCATCTTCTGCCTGCCTTTGCTGCCTACCCAAGGATGCTTCCTCACTCCTTGTCTGCCCAGAGTAGGGGGAACTTCTTCTAGAAGAGCCTTGACAGGGACAAGGACATGCAGACAAGCAGACAGAACTGGTGACTGCTGAAGTTCACATACATTTATTCCGTTGACACCAATGGACAATGGGGGGAAGGGAGAAACAAGATTTTTTTTTTCTTTTCTTCCACACAAACCATCAGAGGATTTCACAGGGTTTCTCCTCAGTGGAGAAGTCTAAATCAATGCACACCCAGTGGAGGAGAATGCAGATAGCAGCCCGCTGTACAGATATTTACACGTAATTACAGGACCTCCGGCCACAGGATGTGCCCTCACCCACCCACCCCCACCTCTCCAGCCCCGGACCCAGACCCTCCTCTCCCATCCCAACCTCGTTGCCTTTAGCTACAAATAAATACCATGGGACCTAGGGCAGAACAGGACACTGACAGGGCTGCGGCTCTGTGTGGCTGGACCCAGCCGGCCTCGGGGAAAGGGGAAAGTTCCTTTTAAAGCATCCAAACACAAAAAGAAAGAGTGAGAGGAAGGGTTTCCACGGTGGAGTGGGATGAGAGTTTCCTCAGGGACTGTGGCGACACCTATCCATTCACCTTCCCTGTGCAGACACTGCTTTAGGCTTCCGAGGGCAAGAACTTCCTTAGAGAACAGCACGCACACACAGACAAAATGTGGGGGCTTTTTTTAAAAAGCATAAAGTGGATAAAAAGTGTCTTTAAATTATCATATTGAACAAGCATGGCCTCCAATTGGAGACGAAATAAGAGAGGCAGAAATGGAAACCTCTGAGCGCAGTAGGTATTTCTGGCGTGATCCGCAGGGCCAGGCGGTATCTCTCCGGGAAAGCCTTCTTCCCCGACTGCCCAGAGTCGCAGAGGCTGGGAAAAGCAAAAACTCCCACCCGCCCACCACTCTTTCAACTGCTCAAACTGGAGCGGGATCGTTGCTTTGCGACCTGGTCGCGTAGACTCAAGCTTCCCTCTGAGCGACCGAGCCCGTTTCGTCCCAACTATCGACGAGATTCTGAGCGTGGAGCTTCAAGTGCCAAGGCGGCCGCAGTCTGGAGACGCTTCATAAATAGACTCCCTGAGATCCTCTGGGACCGCAGGAGCTCCCGAGAGAGGCCTAAGTGGTCCTGAGCCTGCCTCGGTCAGAAGTGGCAGCCACTGAGGCCCCCGACTTTTCCGGCAAACGGGGGTCCCGAGGAGAGCAGCGTGTCCCCGGGATGCGAGAGGCGAATGTGGCCGGCCACTGGAGCCAGAGCCGGGGCAGTCAGCATGGCCAAAACCTGGGCTTGCCCCCCAGGGCCTGCAGCCGACGCGAAGGGCGATCCCGGGGAGCCCTCGCCGCCGCTCGGGGGTGCTGCCCCGCCGCCACCGTGGCCCATAATGTGGTCTATAGAGAAGGAAGGCCTCTGGCCGGCCCCCGAGACCCCGCCGGCCGCACCACCACCCACGTCCGTCTTGAGCCCCTGGCGCAGCAGTGCGCTGGACAGACCCGCCGCCGTGCCGGCCGCCGGAGGGCTCAGCGACGCGGGATAGAAAGCTTTGGCGCAGCCCAGCTCTGCGCCCAGGAAGGCAGGCAGGCCTGCGGGGCCGGGGCCCGACCCGCCGCCCGGGGCAGGAGCGGGGGCCGGAGCTGAGGCTGCACCCGAGAACACGGAGGCCGTCGGGGGTCCGGGAGGAGGTGCAGCGGCGCGTCCCGGGGGCACCGACAACTGGCAAGGCGCGGCGGCGGCGAAGGCGAAGGCGTGCGGATGCGGATGTGGATGCGGGGCCGGGCCCGGAGGGGGTGCGCCGTAGGCCGGGAGCGCCAGCCCGTAGCCGTAGCCGTAGGCGCCGTAAGCGGCGAAGCCCGGCAGAAAGGCGCCGGGGTCCCCGGCCCCCGCGGCCCCGCCGCGCAGCAGCAGCTCCGGGTGCGGATGCGGGTGAGGGTGCGGCGGCGGCAGTGGCTGCCTTTTGAAGCGCTTGCGGCGCCGCAGGAAGCTGCCGTTGTCGAACATGTCGGCCGACTCCGGGTCCAGCGTCCAGTAGTTGCCCTTGCCGGGGTTGCCCGGCTCCCGGGGAATCTTGACGAAGCAGTCGTTGAGCGAGAGGTTGTGGCGGATGCTGTTCTGCCAGGCGGGGAACTTCTCCCGGTAGTAGGGGAAGCGGCCGCTGATGAACTCGCAGATCTCGCTCAGCGTCAGGCGCTTCTT